CACAACATTTGAAGTAAGATTTTGATGGGACACATTACTCCTACCTGTTGGCAGAGTTTCAGAATCGCTGGGAGTGGAAGAGGCCTCCAGAGATCCTTTAGTGCCAGCCAACTGGTTCAGCAGGGTCACCTTGACCTGCTTGCTTAGCACGTAATCCAGTTGCGTTTTCAACACCTCTTAGGATGGAGCCTCCACTGCCTCTCTGGGCAACCTGGTCCACTCTTCGACCTGCCTCACGCTAAGATTTGCCTTGAATTTCATGTGTTTGATTTGTGCCCTTTACCTCTTGCACTGCCAGTTGGTACTGCCGGGAAGAGCCTGGCTCCTTCTTCACCCTCTCCCATCAGTTATGAGAAGAGTCCAGCCCCCACAGCACTCACAGCCTCCCCTCATACTTGAGACACGCACAGCCCTTAACCAGTTGCGTGATAAAGCAGGGATGTGCAGAGGAGACCCGTGTGGAGGCAGGAGAAGGCAGCAGTGAAAGGCAGTGAAAGGATGCACTGGAAAACATGAGGATGTTTTCTGGAAGGATGAAGAAAGCAGAGCTCCAGGGGAGGATGGGAATTTACTTTCCAGAAGGATGAGCATTTCCTTCCCAGCTACATCAGGAAAGGAGTGCCCATGCAGACTGATGTGCACAAAGCTATGCAGGAGGCTTTAGGGAGCATAAATATTTGCCAAACAAGGAGAGAGCTGGTGCTAATCTTAAAAATAAAACCAAAATCAAGACATTGATGTTTTTGGGGGGGAGGACAGAACTGCTCTTTAGAAGCCATGGCCTGAGGGATCTTGACTACCTAGTTGTAAAATCCTGCCACCTTTCCAGTTGACAGCAACTTGTCTCCAGTTAGCAGCTTCACAAAAGCAACCCTTGTGTGAATAGATAAAGCTTTCCCAGATTTCTAAAAGGTTAATCTTACCATTAGAATTGCACTTTAAAAACAGGCATCGATCCCTATGCACTCTCCCCAAACACCTCCTCGACTTAGAAAAGTGGAAAGAAAGGCTACAGTTCTTCACTGTCCTACAGCTACCAGGGTTTGAGAGCTTTGATTTAGGTGCCTGAAGGAAGGACACAGTGTTCAGCTGAGGAAAAAAAACAGCAGGTTTCACAGCTTGGCTTGCATTGGCTTCAGGTGTTTGTGGAAAGACTCGTGAACCTGTAAGAGGAGACAGTGGTTACAAGCAGATCAGGCCTCATCTTTAAACCATTTGAGCTCCTCTCATCTTGCAGTGGGGTTTTATACCAAGGACATCTGAATCAGAGGCACAATGGAGATGAGAGATCAGCCAGCTAACTCCTGTATTTGAGTGTCTTTGTGACACAAAGCACGTCATATAAAGACCCTCCCCAAGAAAAGAGCCTCCCCAGTACCTTTCTTGTAAGAAAAGAATGCAAGGTATCTCGCATCCATACAGACCATGTGGCTTTTGAATTAAAATACAAATGGGAGAGGTCTCCTAGGGGGGCTAAGGAAGCTCCTAAGCCCCACTGACTTCAGGAACTCAATAAAATGGAGCAAGTTCTGCTGGGATTCGACTACAGCTGCAGTCTCTGGCAGCCCATCACAGGCTGGCTCACCATTCTTCTCATGCTGAGGATAAGCTCAGAGGAGGGAATTTCCACTGAACATGACCAATCAGCCTGATACCAAGGCAAACAAAAGAGCTCAGGCTGAGAAACAAAACTCAGTAAAGCAAGAACAATTGAAAGCATGTGGAAAAACAGAAGGAAGAGCTTGGCCTGTCAGAAGCAAAGTTTAAATCACCATCCCCTTTGGAGAATAAGCTGCCCAATACTAAAGAGTCCTGGTTTCAGCTGGGATTAAGTTCTTGATCCCCCTAAGAGCTGAGAGGAAGCAGAGACAGGACACCTGATCCCCACTAGCCAAAGGGCCCTTCCATACCACAGCAAGTCATGCCCAGTATAGAAACTGGGGGTAAATCACCCGGAAGGGACCAATCACTGCTCGGTTTGGGCTGGGTATGTGTTGGTGGGTGCTGAGCAATTGTGTTGTGCAGCAGTGCTGGGTTTTATCTGCCCCCTTTTTATTTTCAGATTGTCTCCCCTTGTTTTATCCATTATAACTATTGTTATTATTACTACTACTACTACTTTTATATTATTATTATAAATCGATGGGTCTGGATGGATTACACCCGCGGGTGATGAGGGAGCTGGCGGAGGTCATTGCTGGGCCACTCTCCATCATCTTTGGTAAGCGGTGGGAAACAGGAGAGGTGCCTGAGGATTGGAGGATGGCAAATGTCATGCCAGTCTATAAGAAGGGCAAGAAGGAGCTAATTTTAGACTGGTCAGCCTCACCTCCATCCCTGGAAAGGTGATGGAACAACTTATTCTTGACACCATCCCTAGGCATATCAAGGATGAGGGGATCATTAAGAGCAGCCAAAATGGTTTTAGCAAGGGGAAGTCATGTTTGACCAGCCTTATAGCCTTCTATGAGGAAGTAACTAGGGGGCTGGATGGTGGTAGAGCGGTAGATGTGTTTTTTCTTGATTTCAGTAAGGCATTTGATACAGTCTCCCACAGCATCCCCATAGATAAGCTAAGGAAGTGTGGGCTTGATGATGAGGTAGTGAGGTGGATCAAGAACTGGTTGAAAGGAAGAAGGCAGAGAGTTGTGATTAACGGGGCCGAATCTAGCTGGAGGTCTGTGACTAGTGGAGTCCCTCAGGGGTCGGTGCTGGGACCAGTGCTGTTTAATATTTTCATCAACGACCTGGATGAGGGAACTGAGTGTACCCTCAGCAAGTTTGCTGATGACACTAAACTGGGAGGAGTGGCTGACACACCAGAGGGCTGTGTTGCCATTCAGTGAGACCTGGACAGGCTGGAGAGTTGGGCAGAGAGGAACTTGATGAAATTCAACAAGGGCAAGTGTAGAGTCTTGCATGCGGGGAAGAACAACCCCATGTACCAGTACAGGTTGGGGGCTGACCTGCTGGACAGTAGCGAAGGGGAAAGGGACCTGGGGGTCCTGGTGGATAGGAGGGTGACCATGAGCCAGCAATGTGCCCTTGTGGCCAAGAAGGCCAATGGCATCCTGGGGTGCATTAGAAAGGGTGTGGTTGGTAGGTCAAGAGAGGTTCTCCTCCCCCTCTACTCTGCCTTGGTGAGGCCGCATCTGGAATATTGTGTCCAGTTCTGGGCCCCACAGTTCAAGAAGGACAGGGAATTGTTTGAAAGAGTCCAGCACAGAGCCACAAAGATGATTAAGGGAGTGGAACATCTCCCTTATGAGGAGAGGCTGAGGGAGCTGGGACTCTTTCGCTTGGAAAGAGGAGACTGAGGGGTGACCTCATCAATGTTTACAAATATGTAAAGGGTGAGTGTCAGGGTGATGGAGCTAGGTTTTTTTCAGTGATGTCCAGTGACAGGACAAGGGGCAATGGGTGTAAACCGGAGCATAGGAGTTTCCATGTGAACATCAGGAACAATTTCTTTACTGTGAGAGTAACAGAGCACTGGAACAGGTTGCCCGGGGGGGTTGTGGGGTCTCCTACGTTGGAGATATTCAAGGCCCGCCTGGACAAGTTCCTGTGTGATGTACTCTAGGTTACCCTGCTCTTGCAGGGGGGTTGGACTAGATGATCTTTTGAGGTCCCTTCCAACCCTTGGGATTCTGTGATTCTGTGATTGTCATCATTATAATTATCATCATTCTTATCATTATTGTATTATCATAATTGTACTTCATAATTGTGTACTACTTTATTATCATTATAATTAATTATAATTAATCTATGTTAATATTCATTGTTGTTTTTATTTATTAGTAGTATAGCATTGTTATTATTACAATATCATACTTTAATTTGGTTATTAAACTGCTGTTATCACACTCCATGGTTTTCCATCCCTTTGATTCTCCCCGTCCAGCCTGGGCTGGGAGCAGGGTGCGTGGTGCTGAGGTACTGGCTGGGTTTGAACCACGTCAGGCTGGAGCTGGGGCAGCCGGAGCTCTGCTGAGCACTGGGGGCAGGAGCACCCGGCAGAGAGGGATCTTCCAGGGCTGCCCAAAGCACGAGCTCATCTCTGAGAGAGAGAGTTCTGCTCTCCTGCTCCTCCTCTGAGGCGGGTCAAAGACTGGATCAGGATGCCCAGAGAGGTTGTGGACATCTTGCACTGTGGCAAGGTGGTGGTGACCAATGCCCTGTGCTGCTGGTTGCAGCAATGGAAGCAGAGCAACTGGCAACACAGAGGTACGCCCATCTGTGGCAAGATATCGCTGCCCGGGTGCAGACCCTGGTGGTGAAGGTACGCCATGTAGATGCTGATGTACCCTGGAGTCGGGCCACTGAGGAACACCAGAACAATCAACAGGTGGATCACGCTGCATCAGGGCGGAGATGCAACATACAGATGGGCCGGTGATCGTGGGGTGGATTTAACAATGGACTCTATTGCCCAGGTTATTCAGGAGCGTGAAAACTGTGCTGCAATTGAGCAAGCCAAGCGGTTAAAGCATCTTTGGTATGGGGGACGGTGGCTGAAGAACAACTATGGGGAGGCCTGGCAGATCAATTATATCACACTGCCACCAACACATCGAGGCAAGCGCCGTGTGCTTACCATGGTGGAAGCAACCACCGGATGGCTGGGAACATGCGCTCTGCCCCACGCCACTGCCCGTAACACTATCCTGGGCCTTGAGATTTTGAGGCGATACCGCAGCCCAGAGAGAACTGAGTCAGACAATGGGACTCATTTCCAGAACAGCCTCATACATTTGGGCCAAAGAGCACGGCATTGAGCGGGTATTTCACATCCCCTACCGTGCACCAGCCTCTGGGAGAATCAACCAGTATAATGGGCTGTTAAAACCGATACTAAAAGCAATGAGTGGTGGGACTTTCAAACGTGGGGATACACATTTACCAAAAGCCACTGGCTTGGCCAACACGAGGGGATCTGCCAGCAGGGCTGGCCCAGCACAAGCAGAACAAAGTCTTATCTGTTGCAAACGCTGAGCTGACCCACGAGGATGGGATTCGAACCTACGTGTGCAGAGCACAATGGATTAGCAGTCCATCGCCTTCACCACTCGGCCACCTCGTCACTGTCCTCCTCCTGCTGCTGCTGCTGATAATGATGATGCTGCTGCTCCTGGCTTTTTATGCTGTTTGATGTGGGAGAGTGTGGTGGAAAATGACTGCTTTAGGGTCACTCAAAAAATGACCATCAAGGATATTAGCAAGAGCAGATTAGAAATAAGGCATGATTGAACAGAATTTGATGGCAAGGCTACACTTTATGTAGCTGAAGGATAGATAGGAAAATGGAGGTGAAACTGAGCTAAAGGGGATTGGTATTGTGCCTGAAGGCATAAAGATACAAGGGAGACCCTGCTGCCGAGTCATGAGGTTCAGAACAGATGCCCCCTGCTTTCTAAACTCCTGACAGAGACTGGATGTGGCTGGATCTTGTCTTAGTCTCAGACTTGGTCAACAATTTGTGTCTAATGGAATGCTTGAAGGAAAATCAAGGTAGAACCAAGCTAAAACTATTTGAATGGAGACTGAAGGTGACAAGGGTAAGGGGACCCTCCCCTTAAGTGACAACATTCAGAACAGACCCCTGTTGCTTTCTAAACTCCTGATGGAGCCTGGGTGAGCTCCTAACTTACGGATACTTTCATGTATAGATTCTGAATGATCTGGCAAGTTCATACAACACCTTCCTTCCAAAATTTCACACCCGTGTCCATGTGCTAAGAGGAGGAAATCAGTTGCTGTCCTATTTTGCAAAGTCACCTGCTTAATAGAATCAACATCAGTGAGTAATGCAGAGAGAGCGGATGCTGCAGCAATAGTTTGTTTAATGAGCCAACATCCTGACTTATTTAATGTTGCTAAAGCTTGAGCACTAGCTGCTCCAGGAGCTAAGAACAAAACAGCTGCAGAAGTAAACTGCACACTGTTAACAGTCAAGGAGTTTGCTGTATCATTACCCCTCTTTTCTTAAGTCAAAGTCGCTCACCCTGCTTTGCGTGGCTACAAATGCCGGCCTGCTCCGCAGCAGCTTCAGGTGCCTGCCTGCTTCAGCAGCAGCCATAAATACCTGCCGGCAACCGCACTTTTGCATTAACCCTTTCTTGCCCGAAATGTTAAACTGCTACCCGTTAAAAACTTTTACAGGAACCCAACAACAAGAAGTACACAGAACACCCTCTGCCCTCAGCACACACACACACACGTATGGGATCCCACAAGCACACTCCACACAACTACAAGATTTGAAGCACAAAATCCAGACAATCATTACTCCCACTACACAGTCCCACGTACAGAACGTGGCACAAGGACCCTGTGGAGACTATCAGGAAACCAGCTCCAAGAAGCATCATCGCAGTGTGAGGTGGCAGGCTCAGCCATAGCGGGTGTCCGCACAGAGGCTCTGCCTCCCCCACATTGCATGAGGCTTGGGCTTTTATACTGACCAAAATGCACACTCATTCTGACACAGGTGGCCAGCCTATGTCTGATGAACGTGCACAGGCTCCTTCTTGAGGTCAATAAGGTATGGGTCCAAAGGATCATCTTCGTCTCTGTCCTCAGTCTTTGCAGCCGCTGTGGCAACCAGCAGAGGTTTGGGGGGGGGGGGGGGGGGAGGGGACACGACTGGGCTCCATGATGTCACTTTTTGACTTTGACGTCTCGAAAATAGTTCTCCAAATTTTTCACAGTGTCATTGCCTTTTGTGGCTGCGTCCCACAATTTAACTCCTGCACCATCCCACAAAGAGACCTCAAATACGGTAGACTCCTCAATCTCTGGATAATGAGTCTTCGACCATTTCAGCATTAAATTTAAGTCTGTCTCTTTAAAGGTTGCTCCCTTCACCTTAAGGCCTGAAAACATCCATAAAACAGAGGCTTCTTCCTTAACAATTTTTCCCAAGTCCCAAGCTCAAAGGCTTCATTAACCCCCTGGATCAGCTCTTTTTCTATGCTTTGATACATATTCCTGCAGGACACAGAAACTAGTAACAATAAGCGTATGAGAACTTAACCTTTAAAATTTGCTAACAGTCCACTATTTTCTATCTTAGCACAGTCCAGTTTCTTCTTATCTTGCTTGCACTACTTCTTTTGCTACTGCTACTTTTCCTTCTTTACCCACGTCCTACTTCATCCTCGGTTCATGTCAAGCTCCACGTAGGCACTTACTGACTTGGGAATGTGGCCATTCTTTGCTAAAAATCCACCCACAGTTGGGGAGTTCCCAACCATCCAGATCTCTGAGTGCTGCACTCTACCTTTGCCAGGCAACAACAGTTCTTGCTAAAGCCATGCAGCACCCAGCCATCCAGCTCATTGCACTCGTGGAACGGCAATCTCCATTGCCATGGGATGTCGAGGGGAAAAGAGGAGGCTCTGAAAACCCAGAAACTATGGAGAAAGCCATAGTTTTACCAGGGAGGAACGCTTCTGGACACTCTGCTGGCTGGGATTGGAGAAGAGGGAAGGAGGAAAGAAAGATGACTCTTGAAGTGGTGATGACCGACATCTTTATTGGGATAATGAAGGGGAAATGGAACAGAGGAGAACTTCAGCAATGCATTTTGGAGGCCGAGGAAAGGTCGGGTAAGAGGTGGGAACTGAGGGGAAAGCCGAGCAAGAGAAGGAAGGCAGAGGTTTCCTGGGCAGAGAGAGAAGGGCAGCGCAGGCCGGTTCCTGCAGGCGGAGCGTCCGGAGCTCGGCTCCTCTGCAGAGCACAGGCACGCGCTCGGGGCTGTCTCCAGGGCTTTCGTGGAGGCTGCTGGCGCTGGAGCACGGGCAGGCAATGCACGGGCTTCAGCATAAGAGATTGGCACGTCCCAGAGCCCCGCCGAGCCCCCGGCCCAGCCCTGCCCAGCCATAGCCCCCCAGCCCCAGGGAGCCCCCAGAAGCGATGGGCACGCTGGCAGCGCTGAGAGAGCTGCCCACGGCAGCCGAGGCGCTGGATCCCACGGCTGTGCTCTGCGGGAAGGAGCTGAGGATCGGGCCCGGCAGCGTCACCAGCACTGGCGAGGGCTGGATGGCAACGCTGGAGTCGGCGCAGCGCAGGACGCACGGCTCGTTGCAGCTGTTGGCAAGCGGGGTTGGGCCGCAGGCAGCGGGCAGGCACGGGCTGTAGCACGCCATGGCTGCTGGAGGGAGGAGAGCCTGCGGGACCCAGACAGGGAGCAGAGGCCATGAGCTGCCGGGCCCTGGCAGGCGCCAGCTCCGCGCCTCTGGCAACGGGCACTGCCTGGCCAGGGCCAGGGCCAGGGAAAAGCCCTCCCTCTTCCCGCACCATCCCAGCTCCCAGCACCCGGGAGCACAGGGCATTTTCCAGCCTCCAGCCCTGCTCAGAAGGACCCCGCACAGGAGCCGAGCAGTCCCCCTCCACCCACAGGAAGAGAAGAAGGGAGTTCAGACGTACCGAGTTCACCGCGGAGAGCAAGGGAAGAGCTGGGGATGGAAGGGCCTGGAGTAGCACGGCCTTTTATACGGTGAGCCAGCGCCTCGGGACACGCGGAACACGCGTGTCTGTGTGAAGCACGTTAACAAACAGCAATTTGGGGTTTGCAAAGCACAGCCATGAGATGGAGAATGGTCTCTTTCATCTGAAAGGTCAGATTTGCATTTCCCCATTGGGGGAGAGCGCAGCGGTGATGCATCCGATGCTGCTCCTCAAAGCAACGGCCGTGGAGCTCCCCGCCAGCTTCCAGAAAGGGTTTCAGCAGCTCCAGGCCCTGTGTGAGGGTCGTGCACAGCCTTGCTGGGCAGCGGGAGGGCCCTTCTCAGCCTGGCCTTGAGCTGCAGAGCGCTGCTGATGAAGGGCACTCACCTGGGTCACCTGTGGAAGGGCTGAGGCTGAGGAGAACAGGTCCCGCAGGGCCACGGAAGGGCTCAGTAAGCAGCCAAGTCCTGGCCGGATGCCTTTCTGGAGGAGGGACACAGAAAGAAGGGAACTCAGATCCCCAGGGGTGGCTGGAAGGTGAAGGCCAAAGAAGGACCCTTTGTGGGATGGAGAGAAGCACCGTTGTGTGAAAGAGGGGGGCACTGGAGGCATTCCTAGCGGTGGCCTCAAAGCAGGGACAAAAAGGTTGAAGGGGGAAAGGTCTTGCTGCAGGGCAATGTGTCATTTCTCAGTCCCAAAATTCTCATTCCCAAAGTGAGTCGTCAGCCCCAAGGGTGCCAGCTCAAAGGGGCAGAGGAGCAAACCCCTGGGCATTTGGCTGAGGGTGCTTTCCACCTTGGGTGTCCTTGCCCGGCCTGGGAAGGACGTGTCCTCTGGTGCAAGCAGTTCAAAGCAGAAGGCTTCCCGGGGAGCAAGTGCGGGCCTGTGGTGTCCGCTTCCTGCCCTCGGGCGCTCCCGCAGGGCTGCTGAGGCAGTGGATGCGTGTGCCCTCTCCAGCTGCGCCAGCTCTGCTCAGGCACAGCCAAGGCACTGTGCCAAAAGCTGCATGCCTGCAGGAAGGAACGCGGATGTGAAGCTGCACCTCTGCACATCTGAAGCTGTTTTGCCCCAGAGCCCCTGGGGCCAGGGCATGGGTGATTCACCCCGAGGTGGAGCTGAGATCTCTCCGAGTGGCTCAGCACTTTCTGGTGGCTGCTGCTGCCCCCTTGCAATTAAAGGGCCCTGAAGGCGCCCATCTGTCCCTGAGCTGGGCAAAACAAGCCGGACCCTCCGGGTCAAGTGACCTGAACAAGCCACCCTCCACTGATGCAAGAGGAGCGTTGTTTTCTCTGGGAAGAGCGTGCCGAAGCCAACAGGTCCACTTGGGGATGGCTCACACTCAGGCATGAGTCAACAGCTCCTTCATCGCTCTCCAGGACGTGCTGAGCCGCTGCTTCTCCTCGGGAGAGGGTTTCCCTCCCGAGCTCAGGGGGGCTTTGTTTGACCATCACCTCCCAACCACCCCGGCATTCCCAGGCCCCTCAGCAGAGCAGCCGTCCTGCAGGGGCTTGGCTGGGCTCTGAGCATCTCCATAGCCTGCAGGCACTGGTCTTGCTCAGGGCCAGCCAGAGCCCACCATAGGGAGACCCTTCTGAGTGCCCTTCAGGCTTGCTCCACAGGCCGAGTGCTAAG